AAAATAAATTGCATACAAAATATTTAGATATCAGCATTAAATAACCCATAAAAGGTGATAAATACCGCTAAATAAAAACAACCATCTGACTAACCTTGAAAAAGTTATGAATTCATTCCTTCTTCCTCAGCTATGGGTTAAATAGCTGGAAAGACTGGGTTTTCTAGCCATGGTTGCCAACCAGTCTAGAAGGACAACTCTGAAGTCAAAACTCAGCCAAGCAGTACAAAAATAGTTAAAGATGTGGTGCATATACCATGTCTAAAAAAAATGACAGATTTCAATAATTGAGGATAAACTCATTAGGGAGTGATTATCCAGAATGCTAGTGACACCTATGGGTATTCAGCACATGGAAATTAATGAATAAATATTGAAAGGGTATCATACAATTATATTAATCATATTGTATCTGATTATATAATTTCACATGATAGCCTGGTACTGGGACAAGGTAAAAAAAATATATTGCCAAAATAGTAATTCAAATGATTTATTTCCAATTGGCATTACATGTATTATTCTTAGGCAGAAAAATCATGAGCCTTCTTATATGTTTTATTTTAATTGCTACTTAATAGTGTTTCTCTTTATTTTAATGCTCATTAACAAAAGGCTTTGGATCAAATAACAAAGATCAGCTTCCCTGTTTAAGTAACCAACAAATTGCTTCTACCAGTACATTATTAATATCAGCATCCTAATATTTAAAAGGGTTCAACACCATCACCCTTTCTCTGTCTTGATCCCTTTGTTCATCTTTATTCATCTGTGTCAGCCTTTCTGACTGGCTCAAGTCATCTGAGAACAGGATCAAATTTCTGAATCTTGACTCTGCTTATTGAACCAGCAAATTACTTTGAGAGTTTGGCTGCGGATGTTTGCTTTTGTTGCCAACCTTGGCATCAAGTGATATGAACAGTTCACTTCTCTTGATTGCTTTCTCCACGTTTATCTCTGAAGCTGAGTCTCTTTTATTAAATTGGTTAATTATGTGTATGTTAAGTTAGAATATACAGTAACCAGGAAATTAATTCTTTTTTGTTGTTGCTGTTGTTGCAATAACTGAGTTATATGAGGAGGTGCTGAAAACTTCTTGACCTGGCCCACTTCCAAAAATCGGACCAAATATCAGAATTTGTTGTAGAATTCTTCATATTTCAAGCTGAGAATTTTTCTACACTCATTTTTATATCTAATGAATCAAATTTTGATTGTTTTTGATTGTTTTTGTTCTCTGTTTAATTTATTATTTTTTTTTTTTTCCACTATCTTATGTTCATTGATTTTGGTGCCTATATGATATTCATATATTCAGGCATGAAGCTGAACAATACCTTGAGTCTTAGAATGAAGACAGCTGATTGTGTGCTGATCTGTAGTACTTCCAAAGTTGTCTAGAATATGAAACTATGATGAGGATTCATAGATCAGATGCAAGATCAATTGAGATTTCTCACCTCTCTTTTTGCTGTAATCATCCTGAATGCCTTTTCAAACAAATGGCAAGTGAAATCAATTTTATACTCTTCTATACATATTTACATATGAGTGTATTGACCTACCTTCCAATCCCTAGCTGGTATAATGCTTTCTATATTCCTCCATTTTTTTTTTAATGAATGTTCACTCAATATAAGACCCAAGGGCCACTCTTAGTGAGGTTGCTGTATAAATATAAATATATATTATGAGGATATGTTTTGATTTATTTGTTTTTTAGTATGATAAATGAAATTGGTAAGAAAGTTAAAATTCTAGTCTTTTTGCACTTTTTCCTTGAGAAAGGCAAACATCCATCTTTTCTCCATCACCCCAGCTTTGAGTTAAATAGGAAGGTAAGAGTGGTCTCTTAAGTCTTGGATAGAAACCAGTCTCAGATAAGCACAACAGGAAACCATGTGTATTATGTTTCCTAAGAAGTCATAAAGGAAGGGAATCTGTGGAGAGCCATAATCGCCTACATTCTGAAGGGACATGACACCAAGAATAGAAATAAAGAATGAAAGAAAGAAAAATGAATGAAGAAAGACTCATTTAAAGAAAAAAGAGTAACCTATGTAAGAAAGACTAAATGAATTAAGTGAATGAAAAGAAAATGAATGAATTCTTAAGGATGAACAGTTTCAGAGAAAAAGAAATAATGAAAAAATGTTAGAAGAAAAAAGAAAGAATGAGTGAAAAAGATAATGAAAATATAAAGAATAAAGAACAACATAAACAATGAAACCCAAATGAATGATTGGGAAAAAAAAATAAAATAAAATAAAAATGTAATAGTTTGTGTATCATATTCCAAATGTTGATAGGCTAAGGTCAATGCCTTCATGATTGGATAAGCTTGCTTTGAGCTAAAAGCAGGCAAATCCTGCCTTGATGAAAAAGGATAAATTAAGTTTATTCTAGAGAGACTGGAATGACCTGATTATCAACATGGATGCTTTGCTAGATGAACAAGGCATTCGTTTGGTTTATTTCTGAGCAACCATCATCTTCAAAATATATCAGTAGTTTTCAATATAATCAATTTATTGTTATCCACATAACCTGTGCCTCTTACTCGGTAACCATCTACCCCGAATGACTCTTAGGCCTTGTACAAGGTGAAAATTATTGTAAAAAAATCATATAGTCAACATTAGAGGAATATGTACAATGGCTGACTGAAAAGTTTATAGACTGACCAAGTATTTTGGTACGTTTGCATGTCTTTTAGTCTAAGTGCTGTGTCAGCTTACATTTAGAACTTGGTCAACTTATGGATTTTCCAACCGACCCTCATATATTTACATAGGGAGTATAATATAAAGTCTATAATAAAATACATATAATTAATATATATAATTAACTTGGTACAATTAGTGGTCGCATGTCCTACTAAAAGCAGCATTGTCTCAGTTTTTACTGTCTCCTTACATTGTCTCATTTTGTGGTATTCTTGCACTGTCTTATTTTTTACTGTCTCCTTGCATTATCTCATTTTTATGGTCCCTTTGCATTGTCTCATTTTTTACTGTCTCATTGCATTATCTTAATTTTTACTGACTCATTGCATTGTCTTATTTTTTACTGTCTCCTTCCCTTGTCTCATTTTTTATGATCTACAGGAATTATCTCATTTTTATGGTCTTTTTGCACTGTCCCATTTTTTAAAGGTCTCCTTGCATTGTCTCATTTTTATGGTCTCCTTTACTTGTCTCATTTTTATGGTCCCCCTTGCATTGCCTCACTTTTATGGTCTCCATGACTTGTCTCATTTTTACTGTCTCCTTGCATTGTCTATTTTTTATGGTCCCCCTTGCATTGTCTCATTTTTATAGTCCCCCTTGCATTGTCTCATTTTTATGGTCCCCCTTGACTTGTCTCATTTTTATAGTCCCCCTTGCATTGTCTCATTTTTATGGTCTCCTTGACTTGTCTCATTTTTATCGTCCCCCTTGCATTGTCTCATTTTTATGGTCCCCCTTGACTTGTCACATTTTTATGGTCCCCCTTGCATTGTCTCATTTTTATCATCCCCCTTGCATTGTCTCATTTTTATGGTCTCCTTGCCTTGTCTCATTTCTATGGTCTCCATGCCTTGTCTCATTTTTATTGTCCCCCTTGTATTGTCTCATTTTTATGAACTCCTTGCATTGTCTCATTTTTATGGACTCCTTGCCTTGACTCATTTCTATGGTCTCCTTGCCTTGTCTCATTTCGATGGTCCCCCTTGCATTGTCTCATTTTTATGGATCCCCTTGCATTGTCTCATTTTTATGGTCTCCTTGTCTTGTCTCATTTCTATGGTCCCCCTGCCTTGACTCATTTCTATGGTCTCCTTGCATTGTCTCATTTTTATGGTCCCCCTTGCATTATCTCATTTTTATGGTCTCCTTGCATTGTCTCATTTTTATGGTCCCCCTTCCATTGTCTCATTTATATGGTCCCCCTTGACTTGTCTCATTTCAATGGACTCCTTGCCTTGTCTCATTTTTATGGTCCCCCTTGCATTGTCTCATTTTTATGGTCCCCCTTGCATTGTCTCATTTTTATGGTCTCCTTGCCTTGTCTCATTTCTATGGTCTCCTTGCATTGTCTCATTTTTATGGTCCCCCTTCCATTGTCTCATTTATATGGTCCCCTTGACTTGTCTTTTTATTTTTATGGACTCATTTCTATGGTCTCTTGATTGTCTCATTTCTATGGTCTCCTTGTCTCATTTTTTTATGGTCTCATTTTATGGTCCTTGCCTTGTCTCATTTCTATGGTCTCCTTGCATTTCTCATTTTTTATGGTCCCCTTCCATTGTCTCATTTTTATGGTCCCCCTTGCATTGTCTCATTTTTATGGTCCCCCTTGCATTGTCTCATTTTTATCATCCCCTTTGCATTGTCTTATTTTTATGGTCTCCTTTCCTTGTCTCATTTCAATGGTCTCCTTGCCTTGTCTCATTTTTATTGTCCCCCTTGCATTGTCTCATTTTTATGGACTCCTTGCATTGTCTCATTTTTATGGACTCCTTGCCTTGACTCATTTCTATGGTCTCCTTGCCTTGTCTCATTTCTATGGTCCCCCTTGCATTGTCTCATTTCTATGGTCCCCCTTGACATGTCTCATTTTTATAATCTCCTTGACTTGTCTCATTTTTATGATCTCCTTGCCTTGTCTCATTTCTATGGTCCCCCTTGCATTGTCTCATTTTTATGGACTCCTTGCCCCCCTTGATTGTCATTTTTATGGTCCCCTTGCATTGTCTCATTTTATGGTCCCCCTTGCATTGTCTGGTCCCCCCTTGCATTGTATCGTCCCCCTTGCATTATCTCATTTTTTTATGGTCTCTCATTTTTTCCTTGCTTGTCATTTTTTTCTGGTCCCCCCTTGTCTCATTTTATGGTCCCCCCCTTGACTTGTCTCATTTTTTATGGTCATTTTTGCATTTTCTCATTTTTATGGTCCCCTTGATTGTCTTTTTATAGTCCATTTCTCATTTTATGGTCCCCTTTGCATTGTCTCATTTTATGGTCCCCTTCCATTGTCTTGTCTTTTATGGTCCCTTGCATTTTTTTTGTCTCATCACCCCTCTTGTCTCATTTTTTCTGGTCCCCCTTGCATTGTCTCATTTTATGGTCTCTTTCTTGTCTCATTTTATGGTCTCCTTGCCTTGTCTCATTTTTATTGTCCCCCCTTGCATTGTCTCATTTTTATGGTCCCCCCTGCATTGTCTCATTTTATGGTCCCCCCTTCTCATTTTCTCATTTTGTCTCATTTTAGGGTCCCCTTGCATTGTCTCATTTATATGGTCCCCTTGCATTTTTCATTTTTATTGTCTCCCCCCCCCTTGTCATTGTCTCATTTTTATGGTCCCCCTTCTCATTTTATGGACTCCTTGCCTTGACTCATTTTTATGGTCCCCTTGCATTGTCTCATTTTTATGGTCCCCTTTTGTCTCATTTTCTCCTTCATTTTATGGTCCCCTTGTCTTATGGTCCCCTTGCATTGTCTCATTTTATGGTCCCCCTTTTTATTGTCTCATTTTTTTATTGTCCCCCTTTCTTGGTCTCATGGATGGTCCTTGCATTGTCTCATTTTTATCTCATTTATGGTCCCCTTGCCTTGTCTCATTTTTATGGTCCCCTCATTTCTCATTTTTATGGTCCCCCCCTTGTCTCATTTTTTCTGGTCCCCTTGCCTTCTCATTTTCCTGGTCCCCTTTGTCTTTTTATTTTGACTTGTCTCATTTTTATGGTCCCCCCTCATGCCCCCTTGATTGTCTCATTTTTATGGTCCCCTTGACTTGTCTCATTTTATGGTCCCCCTTGACTCGTCTCTTTTTATGGTCTCCTTGCCTTGTCTCATTTTTATGGTCCTCCTTGCATTATCTCATTTTTATGGTCCCCTTGCATTGTCTCATTTTTATGGTCTCCTTGCATTGTCTCATTTTTATGGTCCCCCTTGCATTGTCTCATTTTTTTATGTCCCCTTGCATTTTCCCATTGTCTCATTTTATGGTCCCCCTTGCATTATCTCATTTTTATGGTCCCCCTTTTTTATGGTCCCCTTGCATTGTCTCATTTTATGGTCCCCTTGCCTTGTCTCATTTTTATGGTCCCCCTTGCATTGTCTCATTTTTATGGTCCCCTTGCCTTGTCTCATTTTATGGTCTCCTTGTCTCATTTTATGGTCTCCTTGCATTGTCATTTTATGGTCCCCTTTATGGTCCTTCTCATTTTTATGGTCCCCTTCCATTGTCTCATTTTATGGTCCCCCTTGATTGTTGTTTTCTGAGATCCCCCTTGCCTTGTCTCATTTTTATGGTCTCCTTGCATTGTCTCATTTTTATGGTCCCCCATTGCATTGACTCATTTCTATGGTCTCCTTGCATTGTCTCATTTTATGGTCCCCTGCCTTGTCTCATTTTTATGGTCCCCTTGCATTGTCTCATTTTTATTTGCATTTTCTCATTTTATGGTCCCCTTGCATTGTCTCATTTTTATCCCCCCCTTGGTCTCATTTATTATTGTCCATTGTCTCATTTTTTATGGGTCCCCTTTGCATTGTCTTGTTTATGGTCTCCTTGACCTTCTCTCATTTTATGGTCCCCTTGCCTTGTCTCATTTTATGGTCCCCTTGCATTGTCTCATTTTTATCACTCCTTGCATTGTCTCATTTTTATGGTCTCCTTGCCTTGACTCATTTCTAATGTCTCCTTGCCTTTCATTTTTAGGTCCCCTTGCATTGTCTCATTTTTATGGTCCCCCTTGACATGTCTCATTTTTATGGTCTCCTTGACTTGTCTCATTTTGATTGTCTCATGGTCCCCCCCTTGCATTGTCTCATTTTTATGGTCTCCTTGACTTGTCTCATTTTATGGTCTCCTTGCCTTGTCTTGTCTCCCCCTTTTCTCATTTTTATGGTCCCCCTTGATTGTCTCATTTTTATGGTCCCCCTCATTTTATGGTCTCCTTTCCTTCTCATTTTTTATGGTCCCCTTGCCTTGTCTCATTTTTCTGGTCCCCCTGGTCCCCTTGCATTGTCTCATTTTATCATTCTCCTATCTCATTTTTTCTCATTTTTGTCTCATGGTCCCCCTTGCCTTGTCTCATTTTCTGGTCCCCTCTTGACTTGTCTCATTTTTTGGTCCCCCTTCCTTGTCTTTTATTTTTATGGTCCCCTTTTGTCCTTGTCTCATTTTTATGGTCCCCTTGACTTGTCTCATTTTCTCATTTTATGGTCCCCCATTGTCTCATTTTATGGTCCCCCTTGACGTGTCTCATTTATATGGTCCCCCTTGATTGTCTCATTTATATGGTCCCCCTTGACTTGTCTCATTTTATGGTCCCCCTTGACTTGTCTCATTTTATGGTCCCCCTTGACTTGTCTCATTTTTATGGTCCCCCTTGCATTATCTCATTTTTTATGGTCCTCTTGCCTTGTCTCATTTTTATGGTCCCCTCCTGTCTCTTTTTATGGTCTCCTCTGTCTCATTTTTATGGTCCTCCTTGCATTGTCTCATTTTTATGGTCTCCTTGCATTGTCTCATTTTTATGGTCCCCTTGCATTGTCTCATTTTTATGGTCCCCTTGCATTGTCTCATTTTTATGGTCCACCTTCCATTGTCTCATTTATATGGTCCCCCTTCCATTGTCTCATTTATATGGTCCCCCTTGACTTGTCTCATTTTTATGGTCCCCCTTGCATTGTCACATTTTTATGGTCTCCTTGCCTTGTCTCATTTCTATGGTCCCCCTTGCATTGTCTCATTTTTATGGACTCCTTGCCTTGACTCATTTCTATGGTCTCCTTGCATTGTCTCATTTTTATGGTCCCCCTTGCATTGTCTCATTTTTATGGTCCCCCTTGCATTGTCTCATTTTTATGGTCCCCCTTCCATTGTCTCATTTATATGGTCCCCCTTGACTTGTCTCATTTTTCTGGTCCCCCTTGCCTTGTCTCATTTTTATGGTCTCCTTGACTTTTCTCATTTCTATGGTCCCCCTTGCATTGTCTCATTTTTATGGACTCCTTGCCTTGACTATTTCTATGGTCTCCTTGCATTGTCTCATTTTTATGGTCCCCTTGCCTTGACTCATTTCTATGGTCTCCTTGCATTATATCATTTTATGGTCCCCCCTTGCTCATTTTTTATGGTCCCCCTCATTTTTTTTATGGTCTCCTTGATTTGTCTCATTTCTATTGTCCCCTTGCATTGTCTCATTTTATGGACTCCTTGCCTTGACTCATTTCTATGGTCTCCTTGCATTATCTCATTTTTATGTCCCCCTTGCATTGTCTCATTTTTATCATTTTGTCTCATTTTATGGTCTCCTTGCCTTGTCTCATTTTATGGTCTTTGTACCTTGTCTCTCATTTTATGGTCCCCCTTGTCTCATTGTCTCATTTTTTTTCTATGGTCCCCTTCCATTGTCTCATTTTTATGGTCCCTTGACTTGTCTCATTTTTATGGTCTCCTCATTTCATTTTTTATGGCCCCCTCCCCTATGGTCCCCTTGACATTGTCTCATTTTTATAATCTCCCCCATTTCTATGGTCTCCTTGCATTGTCTCATTTTTATGGTCCCCCTTGACTTGTCTCATTTTTATGGTCCCCCTTGCATTGTCTCATTTTTAGCATCCCCCTTGCATTGTCTCATTTTTATGCTCTCCCTTCCATTGTCTCATTTTTATGGTCTCCTTGACTTGTCTCATTTCTATGGTCCCCCTTGCATTGTCTCATTTTTATGGACTCCTTGCATTGTCTCATTTTTATGGACTCCTTGCATTGTCTCATTTCTATGGTCTCCTTGCTCTGACTCATTTCTATGGTCTCCTTGCATTGCCTCATTTTTATGGTCCCTCTTGCATCGTCTCATTTTTATGGTCCCCCTTGCATTGTCTCATTTTTATCATCCCCTTGCCTTGTCTCATTTCTATGGTCTCCTTGCATTGTCTCATTTATATGGTCCCCCTTCCATTGTCTCATTTTTATGGTCCACCTTGCATTGTCTCATTTTTTTGTTTATTGTCTCCTTGTGTTAAAATGTTTTTCTTTTTATTAAATTCAAGCATAAAAGGTTTAATCAAATTTAGCAATCTGAGTATTGGTCAAAATCCTAACTTGCTTATTAAAAAACAAAATCATGTAAACAGAGTTCATTTTTTCCTGAAACACTTGGCTGTATCTCATACATAATAATAGTAATAATATTAATCCTAATAATATCCAATTCTAAATGTTTTCCAATATTTAGGTCAATCTAGGATAAATTTCAAATGCTTTTGCAAGCATTTATTATATCAGAGGTGATTCCTCTCCATCGCAAAAGATTAAGATGAAAAAAAAAAAATGAAAGAAAAGAAAAAATTCTATAATGAAAAGAATAATGCCTAATAGATTCTGTCTGTTTAAAACTACCAGAGCATTAGCAAGGTAAAAGGAGAAAAATCTGGTTTTCTAAAATTAATTAATAGTTATTATTATTAATAATAATAATGCAACCGACCAGATACAGAAGCGATGGCAAGATAAACCACTTCATGGCCAATACTCTACCCGTACCAAACAAGCTGACGTAGACAAAACCCATACACATCAGTGGCTACATAGTGCAGGGTTGAAAGCTGAAACTGAAGGTTTTATCCTTGCTGCACAAGACCAATGCTTGCTAACTAGGAATTATCAAGCACATATACTAAAATATTGTGTTAGCCCAAAATGAAGATTCTGTGATAAATATCCAGAAATGATTGATAATCTTGTATCAGGTTGCACGATATTGGCACCCACTGAATATAAAACCTGGCATGACAGAGTGGGCCAATATCTGCACTGAAAAATCTGCAACTTCTACGGAAAGGAAACTGAAAGAAACTGGTATGAACACCAACCAGACCCGGTTACGGAGATAGGACCTGTTACAATTCTATGGGATTACACAATACACACTGACAGAACAATCAAAGCCAACCACCCAGACATTGTTATTAAAAACCACAAACAAAAAAAGTGCCTCCTTATTGATATGGCAGTCCCTGCAGACTGCAAAATATCTTTGAAGATATTCAAAAATCTGTCAAAATACAAGGACCTTGAAATAGAAATCTCAAAAATGTGACACATGGGAACATCAACAATCCATGTTGTAGTTGAAGCCCTAGGATTGGTTGGAAAAGATTCCAGTAGACTAATTGAAGGGATTATTCCTGGAAAACCATACCTCGAAGAAATACAAAATATTGTTCTCACAAGTACAGCCGACAATTTACAGAGGACTTTATCTATGGAATTTTTTTTTTTTTGTCAGTGGAAAGTGTCATGATGCCATTTCTAACCTTAGGTCCCTGGGCGGGACCCGGAAAGAAATGTGTAAACGCCAGAAATCAAAGAAAATAATAATAATAATATATTCACAATATTTAGATCTAGTTATTGTTCTTATCTTTGTTGTTGTTGTTATCACAATGTTTCAGTCATTGTATCCTCCAAATTTCATCAGGTGTATATTGATCTATGTAAACTACAGGTAGTTCTGAATTGAAACCTCTATTTAATCTATGGGGGTTGACTGTTTCACATCACATATCTAGGGATAACTCATCTAGTTCTTATTTTTAATACTGTTCAATTATTGCTTGCCCATTTACATTGAGTTCAAGTACACACTGCCAGGCCAGGGGATTGAACTCACAATTACTTTGCCACCAAATTCACAAACCAATGTTTTGATCCACTAGGCTAGTGTGTCATAGGTCAATTCTTTGCAGTGAATTTGGAGTCTTAACTGAGTAATGAGGATAAAATAATAAATTCATTCTTAAAAGATATTATATCAATGATTCCATATTTGAAGCAACATATTTTACTTGAATATTATACATATTATAATAAAGATACATATTAAATGTGGTTTATAAAAATACAGTTTTAATTATTTGAATATTTCAGTAGTATTAACCATTGTATAATCATTTCTTTTCATGGTGATGGCAAATTTTTTGACACGTATGTATGCATATAGGCATCCCAAATTTTACCAACTTTGTGCCACATCTTGCCACGATAGGGTGGGGAAAAGATAAATATAAGGTATTATGATTACTTGCATTATTTACACTATTCAGACTGTTATCCTCATCTTCATTGTCATATTCACAATGTTTCAACTGTTGCATTCTCCGGACACATGCCTCAGTGGATAAAGACGTTGGTTAGACCCAAAGAGTTGTGAGTTCAATACCACATCACACCAGTGGTGAACAAAAAAACTTGGAGAGTTGAATTATAGGGAAATAACTGAGACATCAGGAAGAGGCATGGCACGTGGAACTAGAACAATCTATCTCACTGGATGAAATAAAAGGTTTGGTTTGAAATTCCAATCACCTGAAGAAGGTCAGAGTGTACAATGGCTGAAACATTGTGAATATGGCAATGAAGATGAGGATGACAATCCGAATAATGTAAATAATGCAAGTAATGTTAGAGAAGTAAATAATCAGAAACAGGATTAAGAGATTATTTGTATAAGTGCCAAATTCCTTCAAAATTCAAGTCAACACAGTAGTTCCTCATTTATCCAAACACCTTGAGACAGGGGACAAAAGATATGTTTGGATAATCCAAAATCCTGGATAACTGAATGCCTAAATTATTGAAAAATATGTTTGGATAATCTAAAATTCTGGATAAGTGAATGCCTAAATTATTGAAAAATATATTTGGATAATCCAAAATTCTGAATAATTGAAGGCCTAAATTACTGAAAAATGTGTTTGGATAATCCAAAATTCTGGATAATTGAATGCCTAAATTATTGAAAAATATGTTTGAATAATCCAAAATTCTGGATAACTGAATACCTAAATTATTAAAGAAAATAAGAATGTAGAAAAGATTTTTTTTTTGAAAGAAATTTATCATTTATATCATCAACTAACATTTTCAAATTTTTTGTTTAAGGTTTTGTTCAGTTTATTTTTGATAGAAAAATGTGTCAATTTATGTCTGTTTTCAGCTGGTCTCATGTTTTCTTGCTGCAAATTCTGAAATCTGAATTAACATGGATGTATTTGTAAGGGTAGCTTCTGGTTGAAAGCACAACCAACTTAAATATTTGTCAAACAGAATCATTGCTTCGGTGCATGAAATTGGGCACTGAGGCCACTAAACTTCAAAATGGGTAATAACATTAGCATCTTCCACCTCTTCAACATTTTCTGTCATGGTTGTAGGTTCAACAATACCCTGGTCATTTAGGTGTTCATAACCAGGGCCATTTTCATTGAACCAGTCATTTATTTCTGCTTCACTGATGGTTAATACTGCAAACTGTTCAATAAAATCTGTTGTAACAGCAATTAGAACTACGGCATTATCAGTGGAGTTGTTTTCAGTGAGAAGTAACATTCCCCATGACTTGTGAGTTGTTTCTGATGATATCTCGTCCAACACAAGGCCTTTCTTTCATTAACTCTGAGCATAACGAACATAACAATTTTATTTAGGAATGTAAGAATATCCATGATGTCAGTGGAAATTAATTCCTGCAAAACTGTACTTTCTATTGAAACAAGGACTAACAAGAATTAATTAAAGTGATTTTACTAGTAATTTTATCAAATATTGTATAAGATTTTCTAAATTCTCAAAAAAGGCTTAGTTAATTGAAGATTATTTGAAGGGTTTTAATTTTTCCCTTCATTTCACAGCTGGATAATCCAAATAGGAAATACTGTAAGCGACTTGTTAAACATAGAAACAAAAGAATGTGTTCAAAAACTGTTTGCATAGTTTTAGGTAATTGACTAGTTATATTCACACTAAAAGAATTGACTAAAATCTCTCTCTATAGAAGATATAACAATTTGAAGAGACTTTTCACAAAAGCTTTTAAGACATTTGTTTTTCGTCATCTCTTATTATATATCCTTTCAATTACTTATGTATTAATTTCTTCTTTTTAAAATCAATATTGATCAAACTGATGTAAACTAGACACTAACTGTAATTATATTAAATTGATGCAAATCTTTCCAGTGACATATTTCTTATAATGTTAGGGAAATCTTAGAAGTGTCTTTGAAATTTACTCAATTCTTTATTGCTTGTATATATATATATATATATATATATATATATTTTTTTTTAAACTTTTCACCCCAAGCAAGGTGGGTAGCCACTAGCACGCAAGCAGTTACAGAGGATTTGGGGCGAGAGCAGGTATGAATGATAGAGGAAAGGATGAGGAGAAGGATAGTGGATAGATAAAGGCAACTGGAGATGTCGATTGACATTACATTTGAATAGTTGGAGATTATAGCTATCAGGGAAACAGGAAAAGGGAAGGAAGTTCCACAGACGAGTGGTGCAAGATATGAAGCTATTGGAGCAGAAGAGATGGCTACATTTAACAGTTTCAACAGTGAAAGTGTGAGAGCAGGATGTCAGCCTCGTAGGATGCTTGAATTCATGAAATCTGGGAACCAGCGAAGCAGCTCATCAAAGCAATTACCATGAAAGTATTTGTAAAAAAGACAGTGAGAAGTGATGGCACATCTGTGAGAGAGTGACTGCAGATGAGATGCCAGA